TTTTCGAAGCAGCCTGCATTCTGAAAGGTGCTAAAAGGGTTTATTAAAACCAAGCACTTGCCTTGGTCCAAGCTCTGCTCTGACACAGATACACAGCTTAGCCTTTCCCTCCCCAGTAAAACTGAGGTATAAATAGTGGTCCTTGGGACTCACTCTTGTCCTGCTCTTAGGAAAGTTTTCACAGTGGGGAGGCTGGCCTTAATCCTGTTGTTGTTTGTTTGTTTGTTTTGTGTAGAATTCTCCAGCATCTGCTAGCTCCTGCTGCCTGGCTCATGGGCTCAGACCAGCAATTAACTCCTTCTTTCTTCTGCTTTGTACCTTCCAGGCGAGAGCTCAGAATATGGTGGCAGTGGGGAAGATGCCCTCAGCCGGATCCAGAGGCTAATGGCTGAGGGTGGCATGACAGCTGTGGTACAGAGGGAGCAGAGCACCACTATGGCCTCCATGGGTGGCTTCGGCAACAACATCATCGTTAGCCACCGCATTCACCGCAGCTCCCAGACAGGCACAGAGTCAGGGGCTGCTCGGACCTCATCACCCCAGCCCTCCACCTCTCGAGGACTGCTCTCAGAACCTGGGCAACTGGCAGAGCGAGGGCTAAGCCCCCGGACAGCCTCCTGGGACCAGCCTAGTACTTCTGGGAGGGAACTACCCCAGCCAGCCCTGTCCTCTTCCTCCCCTGTCCCCATTCCAGTCCCCCTTGCCAGCAATGAGGGACCAACAATGCACTGCAATGTGACCAATAACAGTCACCTTCCTGAGGGTGATGGTAGCAACAGGGAGGAAGCTGCAGGCCCTAGTGGGGAGCCACGGAACCGATAGAGACAAAACCAGGCACTGGTACCTCCCTCAAGCTGCTGAGCAGAAGCAGGACCTCACAGCTGGCTGGGAACTATACACACAGAAGAGCTGATGCCTACATCCAGGAATGGGAGAAATGAGAGGGTGGGGCATGGAGCCAGTGGGTAAGGGGCAGTCCAAGGGGCAAGGCTGGCCTGGGGTACTAGAGCCCAGAAGAGCCATACTGCTGAGCCTGGTGTGAATGAAGAAGCAAGTGGGTATCTCTGCTACAAACCCCATTTCTCCTAGGATCACTGGCCTAGGGGACTCAAACAACCCTGGGCAGGAACCCCAGAAGAGTGAAGTCTTCCAGATCTAGACTACACCATCCTGAACAGAATGGTGGGACAGTCTTTCCCTGCCCAGTACTGGAGGGAAGAGCCACTAGCACAGAGGAGCACCCCCTCCCCCCAATTGCTTCCATATCTAAACCTTCCAGAGTTCTAGCCTCTCTCATCCTCTCAGCCCACAGAGACAGAAAAGTCAGGCCCAGCTTCCCTGTCAGTGACTTACACTCACAAGTACAGACACCTGTAGAGTGAAGTAAATAGCCTGCTTGCCTGACACAGGATGGAGTCAATACACGATGGTGGACAGGTCCTCAGGAGTGGGGGATGTAGGCTGGCCCACCCCCAGCATGTCCACCAAGCTCCCCCCTCCACAAGGCCCTCCATGCAGCACCTATGGGTGTCAGTATTACCTAAGCATAGGCCAAAGCCAGCCCAAGGTTGGAGGGAGGAGATTTCCAGGTCAGAATGTGAGGTCTTGGTCTGTCATTTGAGGTGTTGCATGTGGAATCCTGAACTGTATGTGTAGATTTTAGTGGAGAAATCAAGGCTCTGATCATTTTGTTTTTAATATGAAAATGTGATTTCCTTTCTGTTTGTCATTCATCATAGAGACATTGTGGTGGGAGGAGAGGGAATAGTCTACTGCTAATGAGGGAGACACCAAAGAGCTACATCATTAAAATGATGACATGCCCCTCACCAGGCTCCTGTTTATTTCTGAGGAGATGGGAGGAGGGAGAAGGGTTTGGGACTGGGGTGTGGAGAGATCAAACTGGCTGGCCGGGTTTCCCTAGGCATTTCAGTGGACCTAGTTAGTAATGGTATCCTCTTTGACCGATTAACCCAAGTCTGCTGGCTGAAGGCTGCTTCCTAGACTCTGATGCACGTTGGGGCAGGCAGGTGTGGGGGAGGGAGTCATCCTGACTGCTTCCTACCAGGACTATAGGCCTGGAGTGACAGTGAGTCACCAAAAGCTTGACTCGACATCTAGTCCTAGAGACCACTGCAGCAAATTCTGACCAGTGGAGAGGAGCCCGTGGGCTTGTCTGCAGATAGCCCTGAAGGAGCTGTAGTCCTGCCTTGTTCATGTGTTTTGGTTCTTCACGTGTCAAGCCAGTTTAGAAAGTGAGAGAGGCCTTAAAGAGGTGTAATAAAGAGCTGGAAAGATGGCCCAGCAGAGAAGAACACTGGCTGCCCTTCCAGAGGACCCGGGGTTCAATTCCCAGCACCTGCATGGCAACTCAACAAGTGTCTAACTCCCATTCCAAGGGATCCAACACCTTCATACAGATACACAGTCAAAACACCAATGTACATAAAATAAATATTTCTTTAAAGTATAATAGAAAACCCGAGTAACTGGACTACCACAGGTGGGGTATTGGCAGTCATCTGGGTGAAGGTGAAGGTGAAGGTGAGGATGGCGAGAATTGCAGGTTCTGTCGCAACAGAGATGAAAACAAGCAATAATGCAAACTGAGGTGATGTAAACTGTATTTACTATATAGTAATTATCTATCTGCAATTCACTATATAGTACTGCCAGTGTATCAGTAAGCATCCACGAGGTGTGTGACTTTGAACAAGCCACCTGCCTTCTCTGTGCCTTGATTTTCCTTGCACAGGCATCTTGAGACCAGCCTTCCTTTAAGGGAAAGAATTTGAATTAAATATTTGAAGGGTGGAAGGACACTCACTGCCAAGCCTACTCTACTACAAACAGATGTATGCCTTGGTTTGACAGGAGAGACTCTGAATTTCTTGAGTGTAAACAATATGCTAAGTGTGCTAGAACTACCCCTCCAAAAAACCTCAAGTGATGACTTCAGTTATCAGTTATGACCACATGACCAACAGCCAAGGTACACACAGCTGGCTCTGTCATCAACACAGAAGTCAAGGCACAGGCAACTGAACATGCACTCTAGTTGATTGCAAACAGGATAGAAAGAGCGCTTGTGATAAAGTGATCCAGAAACGAGCATGCCTTATTCACCTCTGCTGATTGGCGAAGGAGGGGCCAGTCACACCTCCTCCACACCAGTTCCTTAGGAAGTCCACATTCCGGGGAGAGCCTCCTCAGTGGTAAGCCTTTGCAGGACCCCTTATACACTACAACCATGTGGTGTCAGCAAAATAAAGATGGGTAGTCCCTTAAAGTGTCCCAAGACCCAGTTAGAACAAAGAAGGCAGAGAAACTAAATTGGGTTCCCTAGTTCCAGTTCAGCTTTCCAGAGTTCATCTGTGAGCTCTGAGCTGTGGGTGGGTGAGGTAAAGGCCGAAGCTTTACAGACTGCATTAGCTTCACTTGTGGTTGGAGGCATTTCTGTTTTCTGGAACCGCCTCTCTTTAACAAGCCTGACTTCCTTGTTTCGTCATGTGACTGCTTAACATTCTGCCCTCTCCCATACACAACACTTTCACTCTCCCAAGAGCACCCTGCTCCTGGCCCCCAGGGAGGGGGACATGGTAAAGTGGAAGAAGTTGATACCATATGAATCAACTGAGCCTCTCCTCTCCTGTGAAGTGGGATCAAGAACAATAGCACTTTTTTCATCTTTTTTCCTTACGAGGATCATGGGAGACCAAAGCGCCCATGGGAGAGAAGATGGCTTCTCACACTAGCCTGCCCTCAACTTTGACCAATGTTGACCTCCTTCTCCTCTTTAGCATGAAGCAGAAGTCTTCTCTCATCGGCTCTCCACCCATTCTCTGTTGAAAGGTTCCTAACTCCTCTGTTATTACAAAGCTATCCCCACCACCACCACTCCCCCAAGGAGCCCCTACCAGTCCTTGCAGGAGGGTAGAGAGCTGGGACTCAGGTGATTTTTCCAAGAAGAGGGCTTAAGGTTAATTAGCTGTTGACTCAAAAAGCTTTGTGGGTGACCAGTACGCAGGGCCTGGGCGCGAAGGGGTGCGTTCAACCCTGGCTGGCCTGGGGGAACAAGCGCGGGTACCTGGTCGGAGCAACTGGCCTCCGGACCAAGGACCTGCAGTGCTGTCCGAGGTGCTGAATCTGCCTACTTTGAGCCTTAGTGCTGTTGCAGGAGGTCTGGGAGACTGGGCTCTCCTTCAGGGCCTGTTCTGTCCCAGGTGACCTTGGACACCTGGCTTCCCCTCATAGGCAGCGATGAACTCATTCTCGGTGTCGCGGCTGGATAGGAGGCTCGTGCCATCTTCAGTCTCACGGCTAGTGCGCGTCTCTTCCCGGGCGTGGAGAGTGACAAGATCTTTTGCCAAGGTAGATAGCTGCTCGCCTGTCCAGGCTCACCTGCTCTTCCCCAGGCCCCGACGGCTCCAGTCTTTTGGCTACCCGGCGGCCAACAGGCCAGCGCTCTGCCCCGACAGAAGCACACCAGGAGAATCTGCCCCACCGCACACCAGGAGTCTGTTGGGGCCAAACCTTCAAGACCGCAGGCGGGACAAGGAAGGGGCTACAAGCCATGGAGAGGCTTGAAAACTCTTCGGGGTCCAGAGTGCGTGGTTAGGGCGGAGGCGGGGCTCATAGCCAAGCTTGGCCGCCTGGTTCTTCCCCAGCCCGCGAGGGGGCGCCTAGTCCCCATGACAACGCGGACAGCCCCCACCCCACCCCCCCCGGAGGGTAGCGCCCGAGGCTAATCCTCCCTGGCGACTGTGGGCGGTGCCCTCGGTGCTGGAGTCCCGGAGTCGCGGGCCATTTCCCAGGAAGGGTGTGAGCATCAAGGGTGCCCGACACTCCAGGTGGTGACCCCCGCGCGTCGCCGCTGGGTGACCGGCCCCGGGCGAGCGGTGCGTCCCCACCACGATTGGCTGCTTCCCTGTGACATCACGCGGCTCGGGGAAAAGTGCGAGCGTGAGCGCGAGTCGGAGCCACAGCGCCGGGAGCTGCAGGCGAAGCAGGGGCCGCCCCTTGGCACCCTATCCCCGCCCCCGGCCCCCAACCCAGTCGTCCACCCCACCGACTCGCGGGGCCTCTGGCTTGTTCTGCCGTCTGTCCGGCACCAGCGGAGCAAGACAGAAGCAGCGGGTGAGTAACTCCGTGGAAGCGCGGGGGCGGGGGGCTCCAATGCAAGATGAGGATGTAGGGTTCTGGGACCCTCTGAAGGTCTCCAGAGGTGGGTCCGGCTGGAACGGGGCCCCAGACCCCTTTAAGAGGCAAGCACGGTGCGGAAGGGGCGGAGAGCCCAAGGATGGGGCACCTCTCCGGAAGAAGGACCCCAGGTCTCTAAAAGGTTTCTCCAGGTGAGCCTCTAGGGATTGGTGATCATTGAGAAGGCTAGGGGAGGAATAGTCCCAGCCCACAGCCCAACCCCGAAGCAGAGCAGCCGTCGGATCAGGACCCACACTCCCTCACTCCCTCCCGTTGGCTGTTCTTCAAGGCGCCGGAAGATGAAGCCCCAAAGCACCCGTTTCCCGCCCGTCTCCCTGCCCTCCGTTCCCACCTTGGCCCACCGGGAGCCTCCAGCACGCTCTAGCCCGTGGAGTCCTCTGTCCGCGACCTTGAGCCCCGACGGAAAACACCCCTGTTCTCTCCTGTTTCCCTTCCCCCTCTCCAGGAGTACCCTCTCTTTTACTCATCCGGGGAGATACATCTCCCAGCCCCCCACCCTCCCAGCTCTTAGAGGAAGTGTTAGACACAATGATTTGGCCCAATATCCAGCACCCCTCTCTATTCCCCTTAAGTACAGAGGCTTCTCTCCGCCTCAGGAACAGTCCTGGGGGGCCATAGCTTTCCTAAAGTGATCACTTAATAATCGAAAATCTACCCCAGGAGCAACCCCACCGGCGCCCAGAGCACCCTTTCCTGTCTTGTCCCCAGCAGGGGTAGGGGCTCGAGGACCCGCGGAAGCACATTGCCCACGCCCAGAGACTACAGGAACTGCGTGCCTGGGGGTTGATGGGAGGGCGGGGCATCAGAGAACCTTGGCCCTTTCGACCGGGACCCAGACTTGGAGGAGCCAGAAGATGGGCCCAAGGGTAAGCCCCGAGATGGCCTTTGAGGTAGACCTGAGCCCAGAGCTTGGGAACTCGGTGCCTGTTTTGACGGACAGGACTAGACAGGGCCTCTCCTCCGGGGGTGCGGGTTGAAGAGTGAAGAAGAACAACTGTACCCTCTTGACCCAAGCCTCGACTGGGCTCCCCGTATGGAAGTCCTGCCCCTGCCCTAAGTGCGTAGGGTACATCGAACTGAGCTCGGTGACCCTCACGGCTCGATTCGTCGACTCTCACAGAGGCTTCTCGATAGAAGTCAGCCCACGGCTAGGACTGCGCGCTCTCCGTTCTTGACAATGCACACAGGACGAGGTGCCGGGGCCACTAAGATAATGGTTCCAAAGTCAGGGTTTCCTCGCAGCCTAATTTTTGGTCCTTTCTCAATCCTTTCCCCACCCCACAGGCCGGACGCTTCCCGGTGGTTCCCGCCATGGGCGTTGGATGTGACTGGGTCATTCGTTGATAGTCCAGCATTTTTCTCCCACACACAAGTCTGCGGTTACGGCCACCCAAGCCCTATTGCCAGACACGCACACACATGCACACACACGTGTCCACATGGCGCTGGCATCCTCACGTTCAAAGGCGCACCAGTATCCAGGCGTGGCGGTGCGCACACTGGCACATGAAAGCAGCTACTAGTGTCTACTCCGGCTCCCGAGTAGTCACACACAAACACAACTCGCATTCGTTTTCCCACCTACACGTTCCTTGATGGGTGCGTTGTGGGGTGCGGGTGGAATCCCGACGCCCTAAAGTTTCTCACCCTCAAAACCCTGGCAGAATCTAAGGAACTTTTGTGGCAGTCTGGGGCCAGGTAGACAGGCAATATATCCCTCCCTTTGGTCCCTTGTGGGAGAACCCTGCCCTGCCCTGACGCTTTTCTGTATTTGCGATTTACACTGGGACTTGAGGATGTGGTGAACCTCCGGCTCGGGGTCCGGAGCTGGCACTGGGGACCGACATTGCCATCTAGCGGTGCGCACAGACCAGGGTGACGGCTGCTTGCCTTCTCAGATTCTAGTTTGGCCGGATTGGAGTTGGGGGGGTGGGGAGTGGGGAGTGTGCCAGAAGGTGCTGCGGTCTGAATGTCTGAGAGGCTATCAGAGAAGTCTGGAAAGAAAACTGGGACCAAGTTGAGAAAACTGAATTTTACCCAGTCTGCATCTGTCGGGGCTCCGGGAAGACCAAACCACCCACCATTCGTCTGGTCATTTACTTGTCAAGGCTGTTTCTTGGTCCCAGGAGGACAAAAGGTCAAACCCAAGTGAGGGAGCTGGGTGGAATATGAGGATTCCTGGTCTAAGATGTTTGGGGGGGGGGGGGGGGGGGAACTCTATCCTGTGTGGTTTGACGAATGCCTTGGAGATAAGAAAGTGTCCCTGGTTGCTAATCCTGACCCTCTCCTTACAAACTGGATGAATTTCCTCAAGTCCATTATTATGATGCCCTTCTGTAAGAGGACTTTTATATCTGTAAGGTGAAGTTACCGATAGTACTCACCCTTTCTGGCTGCTATAGGCGTTAAACCTGATCATCTAAAGGAAAAGTTTTGAGGGGCTCCTGACTCAATAAACAAGAGACTGTATTTTCCTCTCACATATCTCCCCCTGCCCCGCCCCCCATCTTCTTACCCTGCTGGCTGCTGGCTGTGTTCTGGCCCTGAGATACTAAAGTGAGGGTTTCCTTGGTGTGTGCTAATGGCTCCCCTACTGGCTTACCATACTAGCGGGTATGTTGGGGGGGGGGTTAGCCTCTGTGTTTGATGCTACTACCCTCCCGGCTCTAAGGGTGATGCTTGAGGTTCCATTTTGGAGATGAATGCCACTGTGGAGTCTCTTTTGAGAACGGATCTCTCTTTTGCCCTTGACTCTGTGGGTGACCTTGGAGGTATCATTACCCCTATTTCCTCTAGTCCTCCTTTGGCCCATGGGTTTAACTTTGAAGCCAGAAGGCAAGCTCTTGTATCTATATGCTGTGGTGGAACTGGAAGGCTGGGCCTAAGCTTGGCTTGTGTCTGCAGCCCCGGTGCCATTTCCAGTTGGAGAGCAAGCCGAGGTGCTAACCAGTTAGCAGGGGATCCAGATCCCCTGGCTGTTCAAAGGCTGTGGTGGGACAAGATCCTCTATTTTGTAAATGACAGAACTAGTTCCCAGAGGACAAATGGCTCTCCTCAGGCTGTACAGCTAGAACTTGCTGCCCTTCTATTGAACCCAGACTGCAGGCTTGGTGCCTCTTCTCCACAGCCGGCTGCTGAACCCTCTCTTCCTCTTATAAACACACACACACACACACACATACACATGCACACACAGACGCACAGTACTGCGTATACGACCTGCGTGTGGCTGAGATGGTGCCTTTGTGCGTATGTGGAATGCTTGTGTGTTGGCGGGTGTGAAGGAGGCTGGGCTGAGCGGCTGCCCTGGCACAGTATGCTGGGCGTGGGCTTCCCTCACATGTATGGAAGAGGAAGGGGAGGAGGAGAGATGAAGGGAGCCTGGTGGGAGGAAAGGCAAACTCTGGGGAGGAGCTTTGTTGGACCTTAGCTGGGTCATCCCCTATGTGGGATGTGACCTCTCAGGGGCTGGCTGCAGGTTCCCTCTGGGGTAATTCCCTCATCTTTTGGCTCCATAAGGGAGCTTGTCCTTAGTTCTTGGGAAATCAGATAGACCCTTCTTTAGCTTCTGGGTCTTTTAGGCTTTTGATTTCTTTGTTGGGGAACTAACGGCCCCCACGCTGTCCACTCTTCACCCCTGGGACTGGGCTGGGCAGGCAGAGCTGAACTTCCTGAGTCATCTCTCTGCTCCCTTTCTTCTTCCTCCTCCCAGCTCCCACCTCACCTCCTCTGTTGCTAGAGTGACCTCCTTAGCCCTTAGAACCATCAGGTCCTGTGTCTTTCTTGACTGCTCTCTCTGCTCCCAAATGCACTGGACCAGCCCCAGGACGTCAAGGAAATGTGGACCCTTATTCAACACCTCTGAGCCTGTTTCCTCAATATCCACCTTCGGTTTGTTGTGGGGAAACACAGAGTACAGGAACTCAGTAGACAATCTGTGCTGGCTGCCATCGTTATTGTTATTAGTATTATTATTACAGTGTATGATACAAATCTCCCTTGGCCTTGATTGGTTAAGAAATGTCCAAGTGGCTGGATATGGTGGAGCATTCCTGCAGTTCCAGCCCTCTAGAGGCAGAGGCAGCTAGATCAAGGTCTGTGACTTTGAGGTCAGCCTGGTCTACACAGTAAGACCTCTCAAAAACAAAAACAAAAAAGGAAGAAAAGAGATGAGCAAGTGGGGCTGCAGATGCAGCTCGGTGGGACACGTGTGTGGAACATGTCCTGTCCTGTGCACAGCCTTGGGCACAACCTTCAGTAACCAAGAAGCAGGGTTTGGGAAGTGACAGGCCTGAGTGGGCAGACGACTAGACACTTGTCCCCGAGGCCCTCCTTCCAGTCCTTGGGGCCACTCCTTACGCTCCCCTTGCTTTTTTGAGCTCTGTCTCTGGGCCTTTGCCTTATCTCAGCCACATGCTGCAGCTCTTGGCAGTGACTTCCTTGTTGCCCTCATGTGCGTCATCTTCTGGGTGAGGCCCGGGGTCAGCCAGCAACCACCAGTCTTCTCTCTCGGGCCCTTCACCCTCACTGCCTTATCTTCTTTCTAGCCGTTTTCCCCCTCATGTACTTCTGTTTTCCCCCAAACTAGATGATCCATTCTGAGATGGGGACCGTGTGTACTCACTCACTTCTGTAATCTCAGCCCTGAGCTGATTACAGGGCTCAAGAAGCTTTCAGTTAGAGGGCTGAAAACTCAGGAATGGTTGGCACAGAGTGCCCTGACATTTTCCTGGATGAAGTTCCTCCAGCCACAGTGACTCCAGGTAACCTCTGTGTAATCCCCCGACCCCCATCCTCTTCCACAATTCACTCCTGTGCTGTCTCCTTCCTCCTCCAGCCTCTGCCTTCCTGGATCCAGTTGGGTTCAGCATGGCGAACTTCACGCCTGTCAACGGCAGCTCAGCCAATCAGTCTGTGCGCCTGGTCACAGCAGCCGCCAGCCACCTGGAGACCGTGGAGATGGTGTTCATTGCCACAGTAACTGGCTCCCTGAGCCTGGTGACTGTCGTGGGTAACATCTTGGTGATGCTATCCATCAAGGTCAACAGGCAGCTGCAGACGGTCAACAACTACTTCCTGTTCAGCCTGGCATGTGCGGATCTCATCATAGGGGCTTTCTCTATGAACCTCTACACCTTGTACATCATCAAGGGCTACTGGCCCCTGGGTGCCGTGGTCTGTGACCTGTGGCTGGCCCTAGACTATGTGGTGAGCAATGCTTCTGTCATGAACCTTCTCATCATCAGCTTTGACCGCTACTTCTGCGTCACCAAACCCCTCACCTATCCCGCCCGCCGCACTACTAAGATGGCAGGCCTCATGATTGCAGCTGCCTGGGTCTTGTCCTTTGTGCTGTGGGCCCCTGCCATCTTGTTCTGGCAGTTTGTGGTGGGCAAGAGGACAGTGCCTGATAACCAATGCTTCATCCAGTTCTTGTCCAACCCGGCAGTGACCTTTGGCACAGCCATTGCTGCCTTCTACCTGCCTGTGGTCATCATGACGGTGCTGTACATTCACATCTCACTGGCCAGCCGCAGCCGCGTTCACAAGCATCGGCCTGAGGGCCCCAAGGAGAAGAAGGCCAAGACTCTGGCTTTTCTCAAGAGCCCTTTGATGAAGCCAAGTATCAAGAAACCTCCACCAGGGGGCGCTTCTCGAGAGGAACTGCGCAACGGGAAGCTAGAAGAGGCTCCTCCGCCAGCCTTGCCCCCGCCTCCACGCCCAGTGCCTGACAAGGACACTTCCAATGAGTCCAGCTCAGGCAGTGCCACCCAGAACACCAAGGAACGGCCACCCACAGAGCTGTCCACCACAGAGGCCACCACACCAGCGCTGCCTGCCCCTACTCTGCAGCCACGAACCCTCAATCCAGCCTCCAAATGGTCCAAGATTCAAATTGTAACAAAGCAGACAGGCAACGAATGTGTGACGGCCATCGAGATTGTACCTGCCACGCCAGCTGGTATGCGCCCAGCAGCCAATGTGGCCCGAAAGTTTGCCAGCATCGCTCGCAACCAGGTGCGCAAGAAGCGCCAGATGGCGGCCCGGGAGCGGAAAGTGACTCGGACAATCTTTGCCATTTTGCTGGCCTTCATCCTCACCTGGACACCCTACAATGTCATGGTCCTGGTGAACACCTTTTGCCAGAGCTGTATCCCCGAAAGGGTGTGGTCCATCGGCTACTGGCTCTGCTACGTCAACAGCACCATCAACCCTGCCTGCTATGCACTCTGCAATGCCACTTTCAAAAAGACCTTCCGGCACCTTTTGCTGTGCCAGTATCGGAACATCGGCACAGCCAGGTAGACGGACAGGTGCCCTAGAAGGTGCTGGTGTCATGAGTGTGTACCGGGGAACCACATGGCTCACCGGCTGTGGAGGAGAGAGTAGGCGGCCCCACTCTGAGTTCACATCTGCTGAAGAGAACAGGTCTCCCAGACACCATGAGGTACAAGAGGCTCTCCGCTGGGATGGGAGAGCAGATTTCTACTGAAGCCTAGGAGGCTCGACCCAAGGAGGGTCTGAACTGGCACTACCTGGTCCATATCTGATACTTTGCCTCAGGAAGAAGGGGGACAATAGCTGGAGTGGGCAGTGGCTCAATCAAGGCCAACCATCAGCCGAGGTGGATGAACAGAGCAGAGCCCAGGAGCATCTTGAGAGGAGCAAAAGGAGCCAGACTTGCAAGGGTGGGGTCCCCCGTTGTGCTGTAATCGGTGCTTTCCGCCTTCCTGCACCCTCCTCCCCCTGCATGTAGGCTCAGCCCTTCCCCTGCCCACAAGTCCCACTCCAGGGTGAGGGACTTCCCTGCTGTTGTTGCTTAGCCAGACTCTGGGTGGGAAGCCAAGCCCTTTGGCCAGCAGTCATCTGGATGGGGCAACTGGGAGGACATGCTAAGCTGAGATACAGACTCCAGGGGACTGAGTCAATTAATGGTGGATCTCATTGTCAACTGTCCAGAGCCCACCCCCAGGTCACACATCAAATGGACGGCAGTGGGCAGTGTTCTCTCTACCTCTCCACGGAGGGAGGTATGGGCCCAAGGGGAACCGGTGGGGGGAGGGGGGAACTTGGTGGTCCATACAGGATTCAGTGGCGGGTGATGCAAGCAAGCACCCGCATCAGTTCCCAATGAGATCTCATTCCAGACTGGCAGTAGCCTGGACCAGAAAGACTCTTGACTAGGTGAGGCAGAGTTCAAGTGAGTCACCTAGGTCCTCTTCCCTAACCCCAGCCCTGTGGGGCCCTGGGAGCAATGACACCCAAGGGGCCCTGGAAGACATTTTTGTAAATGTTCTGCTCTTTCCATGAACTGTTGGGAGCACTTCCTACAAAGCCCTCAGCTCCCCTCAGTCTTTCCCCGTCCTCCCGTCCCCAACAAAGCGCCATGGCAAACTCCCTGGGAAGGGGCTTTTATATATTAAAAAAAGAAGCTTTTATTGGAAAAAAAGTGAGTTTATTTTATTCATTTCTTAACAGGTATCAGGGCAGGGAGAACAAAAGAGGGTATGGGGAGGCTCACTTCCCAGAATCCCTTGTCCCTCCCCACTTTGGGCACTTGGTGTGGGCGAGAGAGGGCAGGCGTGATTGGCAAAGCTGACAGGAAGACAAAAGGCACTGGTGGGTTATATCTTGGGCCTGTGGGAGAGGAGGGCTCTGTTCCGGCCCCAGGCAAGTCCAGAGGCTCTCTGGCCTCCTGACTTAGTCCTTTCCTTTTCCTTTCTTGGCTGGAAAACAATAAAGAAATACATTAGTGCGATGGGTGACCTAGCTCAGACTCACTGGACAACACATACAAGTCCATCAAGGAGAGAAAATCCTGCCCCCTAGTGGTGACTGATCAGTTAACCTGGAAGTGGTGGAAAAGGGCAGCCATGTGATGCCAAGCCTTTCTTTCTTCCTTCAACATTTTAGCTCACCCCCTTCCTTTTTTTTTTTTTTTTTTTTTTTTAAGACAGAGTCTCAGGTCTCAGTCTGTAACCTTGAACTCACGGCAGTCTTACTGCCTCAGTCTTGAAGTGCTGCTTTTACGGGCATGAGCCACCAAGCCTGACTTTCAACTTTCTATTTTCATCCAGGATCAGAGTTTGTCCAAGTTCCTCTCGGGGGAAGTGAGCAGAGTGACCTCTGCCCTGTCGGCCTCAATAGCTGTTGTGAGTCTAGTCGCAGCATGTCCCTTTGGGACATCCTTCCTATAGTTTTAAGTGCAGAGCCAACTCCTCCCTGACCCCACTCCATCTTCCTCAGGTGACAAAGACAAGCCTTTTCCAGGAACCCAGATTAGATAATCCATCAGAAAGGGAAGAGGGTTTAGCGTCTCCTGAGAGTGATCCTTAAGTCCCTGCCCATTCCTAACTTGAAGACTGCTCTGCAGAGATAGCATGGAGTAGCCTGATCCACAACCCCACCACATTCGCTGACCTTTGGTCTTCGATTTGGTCTTGGAGGTGCAGGGCTTGGTCACGCGGATGGTCTCCTGGCACTGGGCATTGTACCGAGCCTTCTTCAGGGTCCCTTGGCGGGCTTTGGTGCCAGTGCTGCCGTCACACGCGCCCCAGCTCTCAAACTTGTATTTGCAGTCGGCTGATGGGAGAGTGGTCCCACGGTGAAAGACAGGAGGATTGTGGCTGCCACAGTTTTTTTTAAGGACATACCCTCTGCTTTCCCGCCCTCCTCCCGCGTGCTCCACCTCACCTCCAAATTCCTTCTTCCAGTTGCAGGGCACCTTGCAATGGATGCGCTGGGTCTGGGCCCCACAGGTACCCTCGCGGAAACCCATACCGCAGTCCTTGCTGCTGGGGGTGCAGGGTCCCCAGGTCCACTCCGAACATTCGCTGCCCTTCTTCACCTTCTCTACAAGGCGCAAGGAACAAAATTAAGGATATGGCGTGCCCGCAGACTCCCTCGGAGACCAGCACCTGGGTCACACGGCCTCACCTGCCCGCCCCAGCTCTCTTTTACTCCGGAGCCCACCCTACCCCATCACCTTTTTTTTTGGCCACCGCGGACGTGACCGCCAAGAGGGCAAGAAGGACTAGAAGGAAGAAGCCTCGGTGCTGCATCCTGGGGGGAAAACCTGGGTTAGAGTTGCTCGCCTAGTCCCTTCTCCGCTAGGGACCGCGGGAAGGATCTCCCACCCTTGACTGACTTGTCCCACTTTTCAGGCCCAAAACGTCGGACCGACAAGGGGGCGACGGAGGGAGGACTGGAAGCTGCTATCACGAGTCTCAGCGTTCCCCCCACCCCCACCTCAGCCCCCTTGGTGGCAGCAGCCTGGAGGGACTGGGGCCACAGCCACTGCGTGCGCTCACTCGCTCACTGCCGGTGCGATGCTTCTCGCTCCCTCCCGCTACGGCCTGTCCCGCTAAGGCCGCTTAGGCCCCTTTTGTCTCCAGAACCGGTCTGAGCCGGTCACATGGGCCCCCGCCCCTCCCCCCACCCCAAGGAAGAACCCGCCCCGCCCCCTCCCCTCAAACCCGTACCTCCCCGACCCCCTAGTCCCCGCCTCCACTCCCCGCCCCTCGCGGAGCCGGGACTCCCAGGCCTGTGCCACTCACCTCTGATCTCTGGGTCTCTGGCCCTGGAGCTGCTTCGTGCCAGTGCACTCCTGGCTCAGGTCCCCCCGCAGCAGCCCCAGCACTCTATCTCCTCCCCTTCCCCCGGTCTGGGCCTGTCTACTTTCCCTCTCACAGCCTGTTCAGCTCTCAGGTCACCACTTCGCTAGCCCACCGCTAGCCCCGGTGTATGTCCTGGTGTCACAGGCCCTGGGCGGCTACCGCACCCACGAACTATCCCTTCGAGGCCGGGTTCACCTCCGGCTAGTTTGTGATCAGTTCACTCAAAGTGCAAGAAGAGTCTCTGATGTGTCCGGGAGCTGGGTACCCGGGACCTTAGATGGCTCCGGGTGAGCAAGGCTCCAGAGCCTTTTTCTAGTGCTGGTTTGAAGGCGGAGGGAAGGGCGTTGGGGGGATGGGGAGCATATAGAACTGATTTTGGTAAATCTTGTCGCTGACAAGAGTTGTCTGAGAAGTTCCAGACCAGGCTTCGCCGTAGGTGATAACCGCCCACCCCTGACCCTGGTGCCTCAGGCTCACCTCAACCAGATCCCCCAGTACAAACCAGGGGGAGGGGACTGCTCCAGGGCACAGGGCCAATGGACCAAAGAACCCACGCCTGGCCCCGCCCCACCTCTCTTACTTTCATTGTTATCATCCCAGCGGGAGCGGGAAGCAGAGGAAATCAGCTCCGCCCCTGGCCCTGTGAGCCTAAGCCCCCGGGCAGAGGTCAGGAGCAGGGCAGATCCATCTCTGTTAAGGACTCCCTATGTGGTTTGAGATGGTGGCCATTCCACCACTCCAAGGATTTACCCAGCACACGCCTTTGCTTCATGAGAGTCCCCCACAACAAGAAAAAAAAAAGAAAACAAGAAAGGAAAAAAAATTCACTTTACTGAGTCACACCCAGCTGTAAACAAGTCACCGTGGGAGCCCCACCCCCCACCCCAGGCCATACAGTCAGAAATGAAATGACATGAGGATCACCAGGGTAGGTGCCAAGCAGGGCAGCGGGCAGGTGAATACAGCAGGCTCTTGAGTTTCTGGGATGCCCAGGGTGGGTGGGTCAGAGAGGAGGGCTAGGCACCAGAACCCTCCAGAGAGCCCAAGGATCAGATGGCTTTCGAAAGTCCTGCAGAGAGCAGACCTCCCTGACTTCCGATGCTGAGCTCTGTCCAGCCTTCCATCTGCTGTGGCGAGGGGGAGGCTGCCCTGAAGGAAGGGACCCAGCCAGCCCAGCCTGTTTCCTGTTCCCCATGAGACCAGGGACAGGTAAGAGTCCAGCTCCTTAGAGTCCAGCCCTAGATCTGAACGGCTTCTCAGGGGGTGGCACGGGGCTCCTTCCCTGTGGCAGGGTCCCCCCAGAGCCATCTGACAGGAATGTGCAGTGAGATGGGCAAGGAGAGCTCCAGTCCCCCGGTCGTGTCCCTCATCGATCCATGGTCCCCTTAACTACACAGCTGTCTCCTGGTCCTCTCGCTGGATCATCTGGTAATGCTGTCTGTTCTCCAGGTAGGCAGCTAGTTCTGTGTCTTGAGCCTTCTCAGCTCGCTGCCGGGGAGTGTCACCCTGGAGAATGGTGGAAGGGCCCCCAAGGCCTTAGGAAAGGGCAGGGGCTCTTCTACCCAGCGGGGGTGGGGGTGGGTGGGTGGGGGAGGGTGTCCTCAGAGGTCACAAGGTTTCCCCCAGCTGGCTCAGGTTTCTCCAGGCCTGGACTGTGTTGGCTCAAAGAGCTGAAAATTTCCTAGCCCTGCCCCCAAGTCTGGGAAAGAGTGGGCTTGTGCTCTGCAAGGCAACTCACCTGCTGATCTGTCTTCATGAGGGAGGCCCCGGCTTCGACAATGTAGTGGCAGATGGTGCGCTGACCCAGGGCAGCTGCCTGGTGTAGACAGGTCTCCCCACTGGAGAACAGGGGCTGGTTATAGTCCTCTAGGCCTGCCCAGCAGTCTCCCAACAGCCATTAGAAAGGGCAGGAGTTTGGCACGAGGGGGAAGTGTACTCCATGCTGGCCATTCTGACCAGAAAGAGTTCTTGGGCTCTGGCTGACCGAATGGTTAAGCCTGAAGGAAGGTGGTTTTTTCAGGTGAACCAGGGGCCTGTGTCTCAGATACTCACTTTTCCTCCACAGCATCAAGGATCTCTGGTGGTGCTGCAAATAAAGGAAGGGGTGCTAAGAGCCTGGCACCCCCTTTCTCCCACCCAGCCCCAGCAACGCAGCTCACCATGGTCCAGCAGATAGCGGACCACATCCTTACTGCCAGTGCTGACTGCGTGGTGCAAGAGTGTGCGGCTCTGCCGGTCACGGTGCATGAGGTCACCCCCTGCTCGGTGTAGCTCCTGGAGCTGAGGACAATGGGCAGGTCAGGGCCGGGCTGGATCTCCCACCATCACAGGTGCGGACCCAACACAGCCTCACCCAAGTCCCGTCCCTAGGCACTTCTTCTATGTAGTCTTGGGTGTCCTGAACTATGTAGACAAGGTTGGCCTCAAACTCAGAGATCCTACTGCTTCTGCCTTCTGGGTGCTGGATTAAAGGTGTGCGACACCACCCCTGGCTTCTGAGGGTGTCTTTGGAGTGTTACTAGAGGCACAAGTCTTTTGTCATCCTATGGATGAGGAACTCCCCCCAAATGCACAGCCAACCAAACCAGCCTGTAGTTCCTTTAAGACTGACCCCCTTCCAAGTACAAGGGACAGAGGACAGAAAAACTGGATGAAGCAGCTCCTAGTTGGAAGCCACCTAGACAGCCTCTATGCCATAGAGGACCAGCTGATGACAGATGACAAGGGCCCAATCCCTCCCAGGGTGAGGGCCTCCAGGGTCAAGGCCCGGCTCTGACTAGTTAGTACCTTGCAGAAGTCATTCCTCTTGGCCGCTTCAATCAGCTCTTCACCTGCACAGAATATCTGTCCATCAACCCTGAGGTCAGAGGCTGAGCAAGGGTTGATTTGTGAACAATATGGGACGTGTATGCCAAAGGCCAGGCTTGTACAAGAGAGTGATCACATGGGACTCAATGGCTATTCTTGTCAGCTATACGTGAACCCTGACCCCCACTGAGCCTCACACATATGACCTGGGAAAGTGGCAGGGCTTTAGGGGAGGAGGCCTCACCTTGAGCCAGTGCAGTGTCCCCCTGCAGTGACCTGCAAACAGAACAGGGTGAGGTGTGACGCAGCACAGCCCAGCTGGCCTCCTTCCCTGGTACCAACCATGGTGGTCTTCATTTTCTCAATGAGTGCCTACTGTGTATCGCACACTGTGGGGTACAAGCAGGGAGCCAGATACTCATCTATCTGGCTTCTACCTTGGCTACATGGGGCTCATATCCTAGCTCAGACACAAGCCAACCAATAAATAAGGAATTTGGAAGTATTATTAAACAGAACAACAGGGTAGTGTGACCAAGCAGCAGTGGACAGTTTCCAACCTTCAGGTGACATTCCTGGAAAAGATCCCTCTGAAAGGGAAAAGCCAAGCTAAAATGGGGGTGGGGAGTGTCTGAGACAGTAGGGAAAAAGTTCAGAAGATGGCCTGGGATTCCCAAGGAAGCTGGGCTGAGGCACTGTGGTGACGGACAGGGAAAAATGCTGAGCTCAGAGGCCAGGAGTCCCAGAGTGGAAGAGCTTCTGAGAAAGAGGGGTGTGGCCTGTTTGGACTTGCACTTTCAGGCCTGGAGGCAGCAGAATGCAGATGGGGGACGTGCTTCCGATGGTGGGGGGCATGACAGTAGTGGGACAGAGTCCTGTGCTCCTAAGTGCTCCTGCTGGCAGAAATTCCATGCCTGCAGCCAGCAGACAGGATTTAAAGCCAAGGGAGAAGTGGTTGGGGGGGGGGGGCTCTGGGACTCACCCGGGTGTAGGGGAGCAGGGGGAGGCAGGGAGCGGGGAGGTAGGGGTAGGGAGGTCAGGCCGGGCTGATGCACCCAGAAGCTCTGGGTCTAGGATATAAATCTCGTCCTGGGCGATCTCCGTCACATAGTTGAGGTGTTCCTGTAGGAGGAGGGGGTTAGAACTGAAAGTCAGTGCCAGGCACATGGCCCTTTAGTCTCCAGTGATGGGGGTGGGGTTTAGGGGCCAGAAGTAAGACAGCAGACCTAAAAAAAGCCTCTCTCAGGACCAAGAACATCAGGGAAGGCAGCAGGGGGGGAGTCACCCCTCTTCCCACCCCCTCGTTTCCATTATGGCTTCAGTGGTCCCTGACCTCCATGTGTGGCACTCACCAGCCCAACAACTACCTCCCACTGTCGAGCCAGGTGGTCTAGCCCTGGCTATTTTCTTCTGTTTCCCTGGATAGCAGTGTGCTTCCAGGCCCTCCCTTCCACCCACCTAGAAAGCCTTTTCTGGCATGCCAGCTTTTTCTGTTGGCGCCATCCCTGTGCATTCCTGGAGGGTGGGGCCATGTGATCCACAGCCACAGGCATGTGAGTATATTACAGCCATAAGGCTGCGGTGAGCATGCTGGGCTTGTGCCACCAACCCCAAGGCTTGCCTACAGAGGTGTGAGTGTGTCGGGTACAGAAACGGCTTGTGGATGGAGAAGGCCTGCAGGGCTTACCTGGGCCCTGTCGATCCTGTAGAAGCGGCTGGCAGTGGTGGCTGCAGAAGAGACGGCTGGCTGAGTATGACATCTGTCCTTAGCCCAGCCCAAGTCTTCTGTTATTTAACCCAGGTTCCCCCAAGGAGGACAGGCAGGACAGACTAGGAAGCCTAGAAAGGACCCTTCATGGCAGACTCACCGTCCAGGAAACACCACTTAGAGGACAGTTGGTGGCACATTGGGGACTTGGCTCCAGCCCCATCGGGCTCCTGTTGAGACAGAAGCACAGGTCAGGGTGGGTCCCAGCCGGGCTGGAGACTCCTGCGCCCGCCCCCCCCCCCATATTTACCTGCTGGAGTCTCTCAATGTGGGCACGACAGAGCTCCAGGTCACT